TAATATAATAATAAAAATAACTCAACAACAACAACAACAACAACCACAACAACAACAACAACAACAACAACAACAACAATAACAACAACAACAACAACGACAGAAACAAAATCAAACAAAAAACAAAAACAATAACAATTACACACAAACCGTTCCAGTTTCTTATTATTTTGTTCTTTATTCTATACATTTTGTTAACAATTACCACGCATTTCTTAATTACAATTCATTATAGAAATTTCGTTTCTGAAAATAAATTTGAAACAAACCTTTTTTATAAAACTTGATACACCAGGAACAATGATATCTTTAATTAGATTAAAAGGATCAGTTTGCAGACATGTAAACAAACTCGGTGCTAATCAGTTCAAGTTTTGTTTATATTCTGAACCAATCAGACCCAGATTTGGTGTGGGACCTTGAATTGTTATAACATTTCAATTATTCAAAATCCCCCCCAAACAATCAATTTTAGAGCCACAATTAGAAGTTAAAATCGAAAATGGGCGCGAAGAGCCCTGGAATCCTAGTCTTACAAAAATCTATATTTTACATTTTTAAATCAAACCCCGCCCGTTTCTCCAAATCAAAGCACTGTGGTAGAGTTGTGTAATAAATAAATCTGAATTCACTCTATATTCAGATCAAATTAAAAGATAGTATTTGATACACACAATAACAATATCAAAGTTGTACACAGTAAGAACGACTAAAGATAAATAGTTAGTAAAGGGATTGAAAGCGTAATTTCAAGTGACCCTCCCTGCTAAGATGGCAATGTCCAACTTACAAGGGTACCCTTAAAAGCTTTGTCTGATTAAGTATGAATTAGATAACAATGTGAATAACTTGAAAACTATTTAGGTTCAATTGGGATTTTTCTGCTTGTGCATTCCTACTGCTGGAAAACTTTATTGATCAAATAAAGGTTTCAAGGGTACCGTTGTGTATCGGACATTTCCATCTTTGATGGAGATTCGCTTGAAATTACGCTTATATTCCCTTTAAAAAGAATGTTTTTAAAATAAGCAAATATATATTAATAAAATCGTTAGTATATATTTTGAGACATTTATTTGCCATGGTCTAGCATCAGATAACATTTAGTTTTGTGTCGGACCTTTTCATAGAATATCATATTATTGAATTCAGATTTGACACCCCATCAAATTATATTACAATCGTTTTAAACATAAATGCCCTTGAAGGCAAGCCTATATTTGTGAAGGATTCAGCACAAAACCTGATCAGATTAGATATTAATGTTGTTTTCATTGAATAGTTCATGGTTGATGAAAACTATCGTTTAAGTTTTGTAATTGATCAACTGATCATTGATTTGATAATCATCGATCATTGCCCTAAAGATCGTTGAAAATTGATCCAGTGATCGTTAAACTTGTGATCGTTGAGATCTAGTGATCGTTGATCTAATGATCGTTGATGTAGTGATCATTGATCTAGTGATCATTGATCTAGTGATCATTGATCTAGTGATCATTGATCTAGTGATCATTGATCTAGTGATCATTGATCTAGTGATCATTGATCTAGTGATCATTGATCTAGTTATCATTGATCTAGTGATATTTGATGTAGTGGTCATTGATCTAACCATCATAATTTGTTTTCAAGTTTTCTCTCACTTCTGCCCCTCACCCTTGCCCCCCTTCTCATTTGGCTATTTCATAGATATCTTATTGTTTTTAGATAGAATCTGACATGGTTTAAGATATATCAGGGTACTAGAGCATTGATTACAAATCTTTATGTATCTAAATTTATAAACTAAACGTGGGCAGAATATTATCAAAATATAATTTAATTGATACTGATGCAACATGCCTACATCGGTAATTATCTACAAATATAAAGTAGTATCTTCTGTTTGTTTAGTGTATGTCCGATCATAAAGATCATGAATTAGGGATCCTGTTAGAATTATTTGGACACCTGTTAAATTTTGATTTTGGAACTCTTTATAGCCTAGCTTTAAAAAACTATATTTCCAGACAAAGCTGGATTCCCAAGCTAGTGCACGATAAATAAAAACACAGTCCCTTCAGTTATAGTCACAGTAACATTAATACAAGTTTAGTGAATACTAACTTTAAACCTCATATTCACAAATTAAATATAGATTGTTCGAACTTTTCGTATTTTTATGTTATGTATATTTTTTTTTAAAGGGACTCGCTATGTAAGGTAGTTAAACTGAGTATGCAGTGTTGTGGACAAATTCTTTAGGTTTTATTTGAGCCATATAAAACGTTTCCACAATGTATAATTACTGAGTTTTAGCGCAAAGTCGAGGGTTCAAAATCATGAATTTGGGTGGATACATTTTCAGAGTTTTTTTAAATTATTAAATAACTCAGTTCAACTACCTTACTTAGCCGGTCTTTCCCTTTAAAGTTTCAGAGATGAAAATATAATATTTCCTAAAACATCGATCAAAACCTAATTATTAAACTTTAATCACTCACCACTCCGTCTTAATAAACTATACCCCACCCAGAAACCCTTTCTTTTTTAATCCAACTCCGGGCCAACAAATCTCATTATTTGGCATCCCAATCTTGTAAGAACATGTGCTTACGTAGCTTTATCCACTCCATTCTAAAAGATTAAATTCTAAATTAAAGTTGGTCCAATAAAATTTGTAATTTATGATTTTTTTCTATTAGCAACGAGCATTTGTTTCTGCATTAAGAAACAAGAGCAAATTAGTTTCAGGTGTTTTAGCGTCCGTAGGATATAAAGAAACTATATTTTTCATGGATGTTGCCTTATGTTTTCTTAAGATGCTTTCCGATTGGGTGGTTTATTTACAAGCATGTTTCTTAGTTTTAGACAATACTATATATGTATTATGTAACCCTGGGCATCCATTTATATTTTTCTTCTTTAAATTACCTTTTCATTTAGATTTTTCAAAAAAAAGGAGAATTTTTATTTTATAAAAATGTTTTGACATAAAATCTGCATTTAACATTAAATGAAATAATATTCGCGTTTTGTGTTGTTTTTCGATTTAATGTCTTTCATATTTAGTTAAAGTAAACTTTTTCATAATGTGACCAAACACTTATCTATAGCATGCAATTTTGGAATATGAAAACACCTTTTATTACAACAAATAAAACTTGAATATCAAAAAACGACATCTGACTGTGTAATATTGATAATTTGGCCTATTTTCCATTTGTTCGTTCATTATTCATAGATCTTTTTGAAAAAACTTAGTTCACACAATTTATTATTCCGCTACAAACTGTTCGTACACAGTAACAATGTCCATCTCTAATCATATATATAGTTGAACCAGTAGCAGTGTCTCCCCCCGTTGAGCTTAATAAGGAAAAAACCTGGTTAGATAAAGAATTCTCGGACTTATCTCGTACCCCCTGCAGGGTATACTAATTACATTTTAATACAGGCTCTCCTAACAAAGTGTGTCTTGAAGGCGCAAATATGGTTGCTCGAAATAAAATAATTATTAGAAACGCGGTATCAAAATTATCAAAACAAATATATATACTAAAAATCAAAATATCGCCCTCTAAAGTATTTTGCATAAGATAAAATCGCACCCTGATCTCTAATAGTTCTCCTTAAATCTATTTAATTGAAATGTGTTGTTATCATTATTGAAATTAGGTGGAAAAAATAATCAAAACAGCCAAAAGCTATTTTCCACATAATTGTTAATATAATCATCAATTTGTAATTGTAAACTCGTTCTGTACACAGATACATGTATTTTAGCAATAAACTTTATCTATTTATTTCTCTAAGTAATTTAACGACAAGGGAGTACAGGTACATGACTAATTATTATACTCAAAGAACTAAAGCTAGGGAAACAAAAACAATGAAGATGTATATATCACATAAATTTCATTAGTATAGGGAATCCTTCATTTGGTGTTCTGTCATGTATTTTGCCTTATATATTCTGTATTTTTACTGTACAGTTTGCTCTAGCTGATTAAAATCGGCCCGGTATGTACTTAAAATGTACCAATGTTTATAGTGATGTTCAAGTATGAATGATTAAATAAAACAAATATGTTTACTTTATAGAGGTCGGACGGACGGACTCTATGAAAACTAGGTTAGAAGTATTTCTATATATATTTCTTTATCCAGCAAAACTTTTACATAACTCCTAAAGATAGATTCACGAGGATCAGGAGAATTCCGCGTTCATCTCCAGTTGTGGAACTCTGTTTTGGAGGCCGCGAAACATCGTCTTCCACAACTTTGTACTTAAAATGTACCAATGTTTATAGTGATGTTCAAGTATGAATGATTAAATAAAACAAATATGTTTACTTTGTACTTAAAATGCACCAATGTTTATAGTGATGTTCAAGTATGAATGATTAAATAAAACAAATATGTTTACTTTATAGAGGTCGGACGGACGGACTCTATGAAAACTAGGTTAGAAGTATTTCTATATATATTTCTTTATCCAGCAAAACTTTTACATAACTCCTAAAGATAGATTCACGAGGATCAGGAGAATTCCGCGTTCATCTCCAGTTGTGGAACTCTGTTTTGGAGGCCGCGAAACATCGTCTTCCACACTACCCCCCCCCAGCGTAGAGGCCGGAGGTCAAGCGTAGAGAGTCCTGAAGGGTTTCACCAAATTATAACTGGAGACAGGTTAAAAATGACTGATTTCCTTCTTCTTGGTGGAGACATGGAGGAAGCGGAATCAACAAGTTTTCGAGGTCGTCCACGAGGTCGAGGAGCTGGAGGAGCTTGTCTAACTGCACGAGGGGGACGACCACGTCGGGGAGGCAACTCCGGAGTATCCTCCTCAGCTGTGATTGCAGGTTTAAGTCTTTGAACCGAAACTGTCTCTGCTCTATTACCCACCTGGAGACGGAAGGTTCTCCTGGAACGAGATAATACTTTGTAAGGACCAGCGTAGAGAGGAGCTAATGGAGGAACGTGACCATCCTTTCTAACAAAAACCATCGGACAGGATGAGAGGAGATCTGGAACATGTTCCTGAAGGTCTGAAGCTGGCAGAGTATTGTGACGAGCAGGTACAGGATGGAACCCGGACATGGAACTCTTGAGATCATCATAGAACTGTTTTGAAGGTGGGTCTGGAACTGTGAGAAACTGATGAGGCAAAGTTAGTTCAGATCCATAGACAGCCTCTGAGGCAGATGTCGCAGAATCCTCTCTNATTAAGTTAGTTAGTAAGTTTCATAAGTTAGTTAGTACGTTAACCAGTTAGTTAGTACGTTAACCAGTTAGTTAGTACGTTATCCAGTTAGTTAGTACGTTCACTAGTTAGTTAGTACGTTATCCAGTTAGTTAGTAGGTTTTACTAGTTCTAAAATAGCCCATAACTTTTTTTGTCTGAAGCTTTATATTTAAAAACTATATTTTAAAAGTCCTTGAAAAATGGATGTAGAAACTGTAGAAACATGTGTCACATTTAATAATTGTTTAAAAAATGATCGGTCTATTTTTTTCAATGTGCTGACCTTGCAAATTGGGCTATGAAGGGCATTTTATCCTCTAAGGCCTTTTTCCAGGGAATGGATAATAATGATAATATTCTAGATACAGAGAACACATTCTAATCTCGGAGATAGAATCCGACAAATATTAAGATTTCCCGCACCAAGGTAGGAAAAACAAAAAACAAAATATTTTTTACATTCATCACAATAAAAAAATACAACATTTTTTTTCTTTCAGATCCCGCCGAGATTTGTTTCTTAGGAATTTAAGACATTAATAATTGAAAAAAAGATTTAATTCGTGGTGAAGTTAAATGAGGGAAGCCACAACAATTTTCTTGTTCGAGCTAAATTTTCCTAATTTTCTCATCCGAGCCACCTCTGAATCCTTGTCATTCGATTACTACATGCTTAATTTTTTTGTAAACCTGGCCAAGTTAGGGAATAACATTTGGATAGACTGAAGTATTGCAATGATTACATTATGTTGGAATCTTTAAAGCTATGAGAATGATGTCAAACTTTATCTAGAGAAAAATTAAATCTTCTCTGCCTCCGTAACGGCTGACTTTTGCGATATAAAATAAAATATAAAATATTGGGCATACCTCTGCCTATCATTTTCCCCATGAAACCAACCGGAACAATTCTATGATTTTCACTATAATTAACAAAAAATAAGATTTTAAGTTCTATTAATTCAAAATGATTTGCGGCATTATACACCAGGAATATCTGAAAATGCGGGTAAAAAGCAATATTAAGGACATTTAACTCGAAAACTTTAATTCAATTAAAACTATTTTTCGATTCACAAAAATTCAACATTTCTTTTACAAAATAATTTTGGCTTTTAGGGTTAGTCACTTACAAAAAATAAAATTGGAAGGATGAGATTTTAGGTGGCTCGGACGAGAAAATGAGGTGAATTTGGCTCGGACGAGCAATTGTTGCGGTTGGCCTTCCTTCCTTTGTTGAATCGATAAATACACTAAACATTTTTCCAAATATAGATTTTCACAGTTGAACAAAATAAAGATGATTTATGGTTCCGCCCCTAGCTACTGTAAACCACTGATGTATACGCCCTATTCCCCGTTTTCATATTTGATACGCCTTTTCAGATTTATTTTTAGCTTCAAAGTAACCATTCAATTTAAATGTGTATTATTACCATTATTTGTAGAATCTGTATTATAAGCAAGGGTGGGCCTTAACTGTACAAAAATTCATTCTGGAATACACTATGAACTCGGGTTCTTTAGCTAAAAATTGTTTTAGGGGTCTGTTTACATTGAATTTGATTCGTAACAATTATTTACATTTTAGACACGTGGGGGGGGGGGGGAGTAGACCTGGCATAAATTAATTTACATCGCTCCATTTTACCTTTAATCATGATTCTGGACTTGAAAACTTGGTCTAATTTCATGTTTCGGTTCAAATACAGTTTTGGTTGCGTTTGTTTACAAACAACAGATATACAATTGTACAGCCACGGAAAATGAATTCAATAATGTAGACTACGGAATTTGGTGTATTCTGAGAGCAAAATTCTCTTATGGTCTTACATACCTTGATTATAAGTATACTAGCTTGGGAATCCAGTTTTGCCTGGAAACTAAACTATCTCTGTAAAAGTTAACCTATTCCAAGGTTATAATGCAAGGAAAGTTATTTCAGAGGTGTATACGCATATCTTGAAAGCTATATCAGATAATTTCGCTTTATGGTATACAACGAACTGCTAAATCTAATCGAATGTACTTTTCCTGAATCCTTCTGCACCAGTAAATGTTTGATTATTATAAAGGAAACAAACATAATTTTTTTACTAATTGATTAATTGATTTAAAAAAAGGGTTTAGAGAAGGAAATTATTTATCATCGCCAGAGGGTGGTTTTCAATTGTGTTTGTAACAAATTCTTCAGTTTTGTATGGTTCAAAAGATTTTAAAAATTGCGCATTAGAATCTTTTTATTTGTGAATTTTTTTCTTACCGTCTAAATGGTTTTAAGTTCTACGAATCTATCTTCATCCTCCCCTAGCACCTCCTCACCCTCATGTCCTGCACCCTCAACAGCCCTTAGCAGATCTCATTCATCTTCATATTCCGGCCAGCCATCGAGTAAACATGCCAGGTATAGTTTAAAGGGAGTGTTTCACATATTTTTAAAGGGAATTTTCCAAAAAAAATTAGTCAACAAAGATAAACACATTTTTGTATAAAGGGATCCTAAAATTTGTAGGTGTTCTTCGCAACCATCGCCACGGGTATCTCGGAAGAGCAGCATGCCGTGCCAATGCGATATCACCCCTGGTAAGCTTGAAGCACGGCCTAGCCTGCCCCTGCCCCGTCCCGGGCACACCAGTAGGATAAACACAGCTTATCGGTCATCATCCGACCACCCGGTGGCGTTCAAGTCACTTCCAGTACAGCATCCAGATGCGGCGAAACATGTGCCGGGATTGAGACCAAACCAAGCTTACTCTAGATCATTGTCCCAGTCAAATAAATCCAAGGATTGATATTAAACAAATAATTTTAGATAAAAAATTATATTTTTTGTAGAAACTGCAATTACCCCCCCCCCCCCTTACTTAATTGCCCTGTTTTCACTCTGCCCTAAACCCTTGTTCAGTGAAATACTTTGTATTGCAAAAACACGCTTATGCAGTTTTTAAAGAAGTTGCGTGTGTTTTAAATAAGATAATTTTACTGCATCCTTAATTTTGAGAATCTAAGTCATGAAAAGGAATTAAGAGATGTTAAATGCCAGATCCATGTTTCCTTTTAAAAACATGCATGGTAGGAATTAACCCTATTCCTGCTGGGGGGGGGTCAATTTGACCCCCCCCCTGTAGTTTTTTTTACATAACTCAAAAAGTATTGGTCTGAGGCTGTTGAAATTTTCTGACTTTTCTTACATACCCCAAGCCCTCCCTTTAGGCCTAAAACCGGGCTTTAATACTAACTGCCTGAGACCTCAGGCACACCGCCTCAATGACTGTTTTTGCCTGTAACAAACTAAATCTTTGTTTTGACCCACTTTCACTTGTCAGATTTTGATAAAATTTAGCTTTTTGGAAAGCCTATGACATAAGGAAACGGATTGCACAAGTTTTGCGAAAAAAAAATTGCAAATTTNCTGTACTGTGCATTGTAAACTATTGGTTAAAGAATTCGTTAGTCATCTTCGTTTAATGGTAGTAGGTTACTGAAATTGTATCCCCCCCCCCTCTTCCCTCTGTCATCCTTATTTTCCTCTCTTCCCCCCACCCCCTAAAAATGGAATTCTGTGTGTCATGGCATTATTTGATTTTTTTCAAGATAAAATTAATTTATTTAGTTTATAACCTCCTCGAAAAAAGACTGCTTTTTGAAATTTTTAACAAACGATAAAAAATTTGGTATTGTACATTTTTTTCATCGAAAGTACAGTTCACTTGCTGTTTACCACTTTTGTAAGTATTTATTAATTTACTTATTTCAAATACAGTGAACAAAAAAAAAGAAGTAAGCCTAGAAAAATTATACTTTTCTTTTTCAATGTCATTTTGGATCTTAATTAGTTAACTCGTTCTCGACTTTTATTTCCCTGGTTTCTCATTCAACCCCCCCTCCCCCAGTACCCTCTTCTTTCACTTTTTGTTTCCTAACGTAAATATGCTAAAGGTGAAGGTAAAGGGTTTGTCATTGTGTACATAGTTTACTGTGACGCTTTAGGACTGATCACAGAGATTCAAACACTTCAAGCTCTCACGCAAAAATCATTGGTAATTTTCCCAAATACTTCTAAAGAACCAAAGCTAAAAACAAGTATTTTAAGTTATACTAGCTAAAGTAACCAGCGTTGCCCGGCCGTAGAATAAAATAAAAAACATTTTTTTTTTACTTTTTCGAATTTTGAAGAAAAAAATTCAGCAAATTTAGTCCAGATAAAACTAACATACAGATGAGCGAAGAGCTTTAGTAAATAGATCAAATTTAAATTTATAGCGCTTCAAAAATGCGATCGACACTCAATGAATTTTACCCAGATTTCAAAAATGACGCTACTTTTTTAGAGCAGTTTGTTTCTCTGTGTGATAGGGAATAGTTTTTTTAGAAATAAAAAGATTATAAACATTTTCACTAACAATTTTTCCTGAGCAGCCCTGTTGCGTTAAAATATAATCCTCATCATACATCTATTCAATGCACTTTATTATTTGTTATAATATGTACTTTCATAGTTTAATTATGCCTCATTAGTGGCTTAAGCTTTGCCTTTTAACCTTTTTGCGGATTGTTCACAAGAAGGATATTATTAACAATAGATACAAACTTAGTTTTGTGCTGTATGTGTTCGATCAAGCTACGGCAAAAACAAGCAAACAATGGATTAGTTGTTGTCTTCAACCTCACTAAATTTTTTTTATTTTTAAACCAAAATCTGCAAAAATTCACCCTAGACATTTTTGCTAAAATATAACAATGAAAAGACAATCCTCTCTGTGGTATTTCTGTGTCTTCTAATTGAAAGAAAGAACAAGGACAACAGTATAATTTCGTTGTATGAATACCGAATAGTCAATAATATGTGTTTCTAGGTCTAAATTTAACAACAACTAACAAATTGGTCAAATTTACCTAAACTCCTAAATGTCAAGTTAAAACTCTCAAAACTCAATAAAATGAGTAAAATTACCTAGTTCAGAGTTATCGTAACAACTGATCTTCTGAGTAGGAAACTTTAGAGAACTCAGGTTAACAAAACCAGGTTTGGACAAAAAAAACGAATTTGGTGCTTTTACCGCTATGAATTGAACATGCCATAAATTAGGGGTCACTTGATACAACGTCTAAAATCACTTTAGTTACCATCTCTGATCTTATCTGTTGAAGTATACATTTTCCCATCACAATGCACAATATACAGTACACACTGTGTTCATTCTTCATTAATATTCAACATTTAACATTTTTAGCTTTATTCTTAGCGCTTTGGAATATGTTGAATATCTTTCAAAGAATGTAGCTAGATTTTTTTGACAATATCATTGTGATAAATAAAAAAATTAAAGCAATTGAAATAGTTTCCGCAATATTTATGAGAAAATCGAGTGTGCAAATGTAAAATTTACGATTCCAAGGAACCCTTCCTTATTTACAAAACAAGTGTACTGCACAATATGACCAAAGCACTACCCACTACCCAGTTGCACTGGTGTTTACATTGCTTACATTTTCTTAGGAATATTGGCCGTTTCCATTGGTGGAGACTTTAACGTAACAAAAAAGAGTATCGCATAAAAAATGCTGGGTTTTTTGCTTTTTCTAATAGATTTATATCTATTTATCTATCTGATTTCATATCTATAATTGATTTGAAATTCGAACACAGTTTAACTGCTTTTGACATATTTCTGCTACAATTTTTCATTTAAATAAATTGATCAAAAATTGAAAAGTATTTAAAATGATACACTATACAGATAACACAGACGGAGGAGAAGCAAATAAAGTTACGAAGAGAAACAAAACGGGAAGTTGATAGACGATATTTTAAGCTTAAAATATGCTTTCTTCAAAAGATTGTTTCGACATTTTTAAACGGTTTAGAAGGATTTTTTGGCTTCTCAATTTACTGACTGTAAAAACAGCATGTTTACTTTTTTATGCGTTTAAAATCAATTTTGAATTTTCAACTTTGACATTATTAATAAATGTATTAACAACCTGCAATAACGGATATCTTGGATAATTCAAATTATGAACTCTGTTAGATCAAATATTCTAAATTGAAAATATCAAAGGTTTAGACCATCAGCTTGTAAAGATAAAGAAATTATAAAATTTGAATTTTAATTGAGACTCAAATCCTTAAAATATTATGAAAAATATTATTGAATTTTTAATTTCAAGCATATTAATAAGTATACAAAGTTAAAAAAATCATTGTCAATCAACTTTTTACTCAGGGAGCTAAGAATAAATCAGTTCACAGTCGGCACTCAATACATTTCGACTCAGTACAACATGCTTTATCAGGTTTAATATAGTAAACAGTCGACACTCAATACATTCCGACTCAGTACAACATGCTTTATCAGGTATAATCTAGTACACAGTCGACACTCAATACATTTCGATTCAGTACAACATGCTTTGTCAGGTATAATATAGTACACAGTCGACACTTAATACATTTCGATTCAGTACAACATGCTTTGTCAGGTATAATATAGTACACAGTCGACACTTAATACATTTCGACTCAGTACAACATGCTTTATCAGGTATAATACATTAGACAATTGACACTCAATACGTTTCGACTCAGTACAACATGCTTTATCAGTACACAGTCGACACTTAATACATTTCGACTCAGTACAACATGCTTTATCAGGTATAATACATTAGACAATTGACACTCAATACGTTTCGACTCAGTACAACATGCTTTATCAGGTATAATATAGTACACAGTCGACACTCAATACATTTCGACTCAGTACAACAACATGCTTTATCAGGTATAATATAGTACAGAGTCGATACAATTTCACGTACAATTTTGAATACTAGCGTAGGAACCCAGTTATGCCTGGAAACACAACTTTCCCTATAAGAGTTAATAAACTCAACAAAGAATATTTATCTCAGAGCTAAAAATTATCAATATACAGGGTCGTCCACTAAGGATGAAACCTCTAAGACTATTGAACCAAATTTATACTGTCGGTTTGCTTATAATCATGATTCACTGGAATTGTAAACTTGTTTCTTTCTTTTCCAAATCATCGAATAAGTCATTAGAAGACTATGCTCAAAGCAGAAGACTTTATTGGATGGTGGATTGCTCATATTTTATGAGTTTCACGTCGTCTTTACAGTCTCGTCCTATGTGGGTAACCCTGTATATTTCTTGTACGTCCCGGGTCAATATGAAGAATAGTGGTTCAATTTAATCTACTAAGTTCAACTACTTCTAATAATTCTTTTTAATATAAATCTTGTTTTTAATCAAGACATACAATTTTTAGTTTTTTTCTTAGTCGTCTTTGAATGGCAAGTTAATTGAAACACACTGTATAAATAAGTTTAATGTTGATACTTTATAAATTTCGGCTCCTTTATATCAATCCACTCTGAAACTCAAAGCTGTAAAATGGCGCAATGGGGTGTAATTATTCAATGTGCAAAATTTAATACATTTGATTGCGGATTACAGATTCGAATTCCCTGATAAGAAATCAACCCTTTTTGTTGGTGCCAACATCATCTCTGTGTAAAGATCTAGATACTAACCCTGTAAAAACCTTGGCATAAAAGCATACTGACAAGTATAGATTGCTAATGTACAATCCAATGTATTTAAAGCTAGGGTAGGAAAATTTGACATTTTTTTGTTTGATTCATTTGATTGAATCGTTACAACATATCGTAAAAAACTGTACATAAGTTTATGGTTTATTAGATTAGTGTCTTGATGTAAAATTGTAAAATAAAAAAGAATATTTTAAAAGTGTAATTTGCAAAGTTACAACAGTATTGTAAACAAATTACAAAAAAATCGAGCTTTATCTTATCCTTAAATTTTGCAAAATTACAGGGCTTAGAAGTGAATTTTCTCACTATACATCATATGTAATTCTTTTTGCATTGAAAAAATCGCAAAAATTGCTTTATTTTTGCAAACAAAAGTTTCACTGTAGATTCCCACCGCGTAAACAGCATAATTGTTATCAAACTGCTAAAAAAGGGTGCAAAGTAAATTAGTTTGAGATGCATTACTTGCATGCCGACAAATGGTTATGTAGAGACCCTGCTGGGTGCATGCGCATTGCGCATTTATTTACTGCCAGTAATGATAGCAATCATTGAGCAATAATATTGATGTATGTTAGACTTCAGTTCCAACTAAGAAATATATGTGCATACAGGGTGTCTCAAAAAATACTCTCCTGTATACATTAAAGACTTCATACAGATTACAGGGTGACCTGTAAGTTGTTGATATTTGTATACTGTTAAATAGACAATATACACCCTAATTATGGAAAATCCTTTTAATTTCATCCAAACAACTTTCCTTTTTTTGTTAGACACCCTTTGCTATAATTACTCAAGCACTGTGCGTAGTACATCACGCATACAAAGAAGTCAAGAGGGGGGGGGGGGGGCTGAAGAGGTTTGAAAAAAGGTGTTAAATGGCCTGTTTTAACAATTTCAAGTGATCCTCCATAATTTTAGAGGGGCATGTCCGGTACACACCGGTACACAACACTTCAAACATTTGGTTGAGTAAAAATGGTGTTAACCCTGTTTTTCTTTCTATAAATTGATCATGTTCAGATGTGGTTTATTAAAAGCGTAGATCAGAGAGTTTTTTGATACTAAAACATTGAAGAAAAATTTCAGATTTAAATATTTTTTAAAAATGAGGATTTGTTTCATATTATTTTGAAGATAATGTTAAAAATAACCCAAATATTGAAAACATAACCAATTTTCTTTACAGCCACCCCTTCCCCCCTCTCTTAAAAACCCCTGATTGAGTTAAAGTTTTTATCTTCATTGCTTGTTCATGATAAACCCATTTTTTCTGAAAATTTTTTTAAATTTCATCGTACAACGGAATTGTTGACGTTATTCAGAAATACCATTTTTAGAATTCTTAAGAATTTAAAAAGGGTTAAACGCAATATGTTTATACGTAACACTTGATATGTTATGCTACTATAACATTGTTACGTTATACTGACTGACTGGCGCGAAACAACAAAATTCTGAACTATAGCTATTGCATACAAACAACACATGTAGATCAGTTTTCTGTTACCGACGACATTTTAACATTCTGGACGAGACTTCAACTATCAACTATTCGAAGCAGTATCTTCTAAATCTTAATTTTATTATATACGTTTGAAATATCTGAGAGAGAAACAAAATTGATATTTAGTGAACTTGGTGTTTCTAAAAATCTGACTTGATTTCAGACAATACTGCAGTTTATTTTTTTCATAGTTTTACATCTTTCGTGTTTTTAAAGAGCATTTTATAAAACTTTACAACTTTTTATTTCTTATTATTGACTGCATAAAATGAAAACCAGATGGATTAAAGTTTAATCACAAAGTCGTAGCAGTAATTGATCCTGCAGATATAACGCCAGAAAGTAGGGTTGGGGGGTATTTTTTTAGTCCCTTCCAAACAGAATAAAAAAACTGCCCCCTCTCTACATTTTGATTGACTGTACAGTGTACAGTACAGTGCATAATTCACCCAACATTAATCAACAAGACAGGAGCTGTGGGCCAAACTATAGTTCATATTTCAACTTCGGGAGGGAGGGAGGGGGGGGGATAAAGCTCATATTGGAACTTCAGGGGGGTATAGTTCATATTTAAACTTTGCCCCCTCCACCTCCCCAAGTAAAAATATGAAGTAATTTTCTCACATCTAGTAAGTTAAATTCAGGGGGGGGGGGCGAGAGAGTAATGAAGTTGATTTTTCCATTTTTCGGCTTGGGGACATAAGGGCAGAGACAGGCTATGTAAAATTATATATATAATTAAAGAGGCTTGGAGGGGGTAAAAGAACTGGGATCGAAAATCTGAATCTGCAAAACATTGATGGCTGATAAACATCTAATATATATATTTATTATGAAGGAACACTCCCTCATCAGAATGTATCTGATTCATGATGAATGTTTATAATTGGCAGCAGCCTCACAGATTGTAATACTGTAGCTGCCCCAGCCATGGATAATATACAGGGTTACCCATAACGAATAAGCCTTTATTTAATGACGACCAAAAAATGATTATCTGAAGGTGGAATTTGGTCTTCTAACTTCAGAATAGCCTTTGGAAAATAAACTAAAGTTCAAAGTGCTAAGAAACCCAGAATGTAAGAAAATAGACTAAATAAGTTTCGCACAGTCGTCTCTGAATTCTCATCCTTTGTAGGTAACTGTGTACAGGGTTGCACCACAATGGGTTTAAGAGGCTTAACAACAGCAAAAAAGATAAAGATGACACTTGTTCGCTTACGTTATATTTTTCTGGTTGTATTATTCCACTAAAAAACAATTATCTTTCTATTTTTCACAACAAAAAATGGGAAAATGTTGATCACCCTGTTTATAATGTATAATCAAATGTGTGAGCCAAGCCAATTCTGAATATTATTCACGTTTATATAATATACTTTACATGCATTCACATTTATCAAATTAAACTTGCCTTGGATTCCACACCTTGTTTTCTTTTGATTTATTACTATTTCAATTTGAGCCGAAATTTAAGGAAGAAATTGGTAATGATATTTAAAGAGAGATGGAAGACGATTTAAAAGCAATATTGAAGTGTATTGTAAGCTGTTACATCGCAAAAAATTCACGATTGGTTTGTGAAAATGAAAACTCGCATGCTGATTGGACAATTTTAGATCAAACAACTTGAGGCAAAAAGTCGTCTTACCATACCATAGTTTTGTGATTCTCACTGTAACATATCAATGATAGTGAGAAGAATTCAGTGTTAACTACTACTTGATAAGAACTTGTGACCTCGTAGCTTCCTGTATGCACCAGTATGTGCAAATCTAATTTTTCCGTGTTGACATTTAAGAAATTCAAAATATAGCTATAAATAAGAAGATGAGAATGATTTAAGACAAATAAGATTGCAATCTTATATGCAATTTACTATACCTTGACCTGATTACAGACTTTATTTAAGCATTATAAACAAATTATATTCTAGGTTTGGATACCCTGGACCCTCCTGTTAGGAAGAAAATATCGTGGCCCCTGGAACCTCCTGTTTCTCAATGTCTTGGGTGTTCCGTCCTTCTCACAGATAATAACGTCTGTTACGGCCGCACTAGTCCCTCACGTCCGCCTGGCAAGGACACAAGTTCTAGTAAGAAGGACGGATCAGAGGATAGGACGAAGACGACACAGGACGATTGCTCTTGTAGAAAGGACAGACACAGCAAGGATTCCAAATATGGGAAAATCTACGCCGAAAATGGACAGACAAGCGGGGATGTCTACTCAGAAATAGGACGGAAAAAACCTGATTCTAAGGTGAAGTTTGTTTTTGTTATAAACCAATTTTGCCATTTCTTTCTCCTATGCAATAAGACATTTAAAATTTTAAAATTTTAAAATTTCTTAGAATTCAGAAAGTTTGGAGACTTCAAGTTTTTTTGCGTGAATAGCTTATGGCAACTAATTCAATTTTGTTTTATCGGTTCTTTCTGTGCAATCCGTATGCAGTACGGCGAACATCGAAGCCTCATTGAAAGAAAGATTATATTTCGACATATCTGTTCGTTCTGTGTAATCTGTATTCAGAATGGCGAACATCGAAGCCCCATTGAAATCAAGATTATTAATTTTCTCAGGTTTTTTTTCTTGAACTTTTCAATTTACTGAAGTGCAAAGTGCACCAACAAGAATTTATACGAAATGCATTTATCTTGACATGTTTATGGGTATTTTTATGACCAGAATGACTTTGAAGAAAATGAATCCGAACATCTTAATTTCGCGCATAAAATATAAAATATAAAACTCATTGACCCTGAAGGAACACATGCAGGGTGCAGGGTGCATGAATAAAGTTATCAATACTATATGCACGGCTACCCACAAAGGATGAGACTTCAGACACGATCGTCTCCGGAATCTGTTCAGTTTTCAGTCTTGTACAATGTACATTCATAATTTTCTCTGGATGCCAACTTGTTTCTTATTTTTGATAAATCATTTATTAAGACTTTATTTTATTAAGTTCGTCATATTAAAGAGTACTATGTCGCTGTTAAAGTCACATCCTTTGTTTATAACCCTGTGTACAAATGCTGGCATTTTTATAAATCACTTGCTGAAGTACCTGGCGTAACCCGTCGAATTGAAAACAAATTTTAAAAATGTAATCTTCGGGGCCACCATTGGTTTCCTCAAAAAAATTTCAGCCCATTCGGTCCAGCCGTTTGGCCAGATATAGGGAACATACATATGAATGTCCTGTTTTATTAGATATAGATTTGCATGAAAAATTAGGGGACGTCTGGAGGGGAAGGGTCAAGTTGGGTTTTATACAAATTACTAGTTTAGAATATATTCTAGCAAACAATATGCTTTAGAAATATCTAGTTTCGAATATATTCTAGAAAACAATATGCTTAAGAAATATCTAGTTTAGAATATATTCTAGAAAACAATATGCTTAAGAAATATCTAGTTTATAATATATTCTAGTTAACAATAAGCTTAAGAATTATCTAGAATAATAATGGCTTGTCAAGAAATAAAAATTTTGCCTCAAAATAATTTAGTTTTTTTTAAATTTTAGAAATAAAATTACTCCGAAATCTTTCCTTATTATGCTGATACATTACGGAAAAATGGATGCTGTTGAAGTAAGATTTGAATAGTCAAAAGCGCCTTAAAAGCCATGTATTTGTAAGTTTAAGTTTAGGAAATATCTATATCATTATATAAATATCTTTAGTCTAGCCTGGTTCATCACGTTAAACCGTAGCTACATTATCGTAAAGTATAACCGATTCTAAACTCTGGTGTAGCAAATCATCTTTTGATCTTTACAGGGTGTATTTAAAGAAAAACTTTTAAATTCGAAAAAATGAAAAAAAATAATTTCTTACCTCCAGGCTAAAAATAAAAATTTTACCAAATGTTTCAATAACATAAATTATTATTTAAAGATAAAAAATCCTATATTGTTTGGTTCCCCCTGTATGCGAATGTGTGGTATATTTATGAAACCATTAAAGCTGTAATCTATCATCTCTACTCAATATAACTCTGCCCAAGGCTTAACAAATCCACAGTTTTGGCTAAGCGAACATTCTCCAAAATTCAGATGATAAAATTTTTTTTTTTAAATGGCTGATCTGTGATGTCTGATGCAGAAATGAAGATGTTCATATACGAGGAACTAAATTTTACAATTTTAAATTTTGTCCGAAAAATTTGAAGGATACTGAAAATTTAGAATTACTGGGGAACACGCAATCCTGGATAATAGAGCCAGTAAATACTAAACACTAAACTCGACAACAGAAAGTCTATGTTAGTCTGATTTGAGCACATTAGAGCCTCCTCCAGCCACTAATGTGTTTAAAAACTATTTTACTTTTACTTTCCTTAAGTTTTCTTTTCTTATGACATTTCCGGCGGAAAAGTAGTTTAACCAGTTAAAACCTCAAAGAATTCATAAAGTTTCAGATCAATTATACTATAAACGGGACTATAGTTCTTTTGAAAAAATATATCCATAAACAGCCTGACAACTAACAGACACATTCCCGTCTGTAAAGATATAAGATATGACACACCTAAGCCGAGAGTGATTACATTTGTACATATAGAGATAGGAGATGTACACATGTTAAAAGAAACAAATTGACCATTATCTCAAATCTGACACACCCAAAACAAATCAAACGAAGTAAAAACACACGCTTGTAATTTGTCTTCAAATTATTTAAAAACAGGATTTCAGAGATTGGATAAATCATTTATTATCCTATGCCTATAAACATTAATTTGTTCATACCAAGGTTATAATTCAAGGAAAGTTATTTCAGAGGTGTACGCATCTTTTGTACTGCAATGTACTCTCTGGGCGGATGTCGAAGCCTGACATGGGATCCAACTTTCACATAAAAAAAACAATGAAATATTCTGGTCTTAGGAAACTGTTATGTGAATCATCAAAATTTAATGCTTTTAACCTCCTCGGAAACTAAACGAACACTTATGCATCTATTCTTCTTTATAAATTCCGCCCAGAGAGCTGGTTTCAATATGTACGCAGAGTATACGTAACTGCAGTTAACCTTCCTTGCATTAGTACCTTGGTTTATACGGTGATACCCATAAAAATGTTAAATAACAAAACGACAATCAAATTTACGTTTTAATTTAAATCAGTAAGATTGAACATAAAACACATCAATTGTGCAGTTCAAACAGACCCTTGACATTTGTTTTGTTTCATTAATACCTTTAAACATAAAATTGCTGAATATACATATATAATGTAAGCGTAAATTCAAGTTACCCTCCATGCAAAGATGGCAATTTACAACGGTAATACCCTTTAACCTGATCATCGAGGACAGAGAACTATGTGTAGTTATCTCTTAAATAGTGTTCGGATTGCCGTAAAACGATATTCAACAAATCCGACAACCTTGCCCAGGCAAATGCTTAAAGGGTACTGTTGTGAATCGGACAAGCCACACAAATTGAAGGGTAACTTTAAACTACACCCACAGTCCCTTTAAATGTTTTCTTCCTATTCAACAGTTGGGACCCAGCCTTTAAACAGTGGAATAGGAAGGAGACATTTAAATGTTTTCTGCCTATTCAACAGTTGGGACCCAGCCTTTAAACAGTGGAATAGGAAGGAGACATTTAAATGTTTTCTGCCTATTCAACAGTTGGAACCCCGCCTTTAAACAGTGGAATAGGAAGGAGACATTTAAATATTTTCTTCCTATTCAACAGTTGGGACCCAGTCTTTAAACAGTGGAATAGGAAGGAGACATTTAAATATTTTCTGCCTATTCAACAGTTGGGACCCAGTCTTTAAACAGTGGAATAGTAAAGAGACATTTAAGGCAAGTATTTGTGTGATTAATGTTGTTAAAAAGTAAAATTAAAACAAATATTTTTAGTCTATTTAAAATCCTAACTTGAGTCTATAATCATTCGTCTTTCTAATCCACAGTTGTGTGGGTCCCACTGTAGGAATAGTGTAAACATGAATAGTTATCTTGTAATGTTTCTTATTTTCTTTATCTTAAACTTTTTTGGTCAGTGTTGAAAGCTAAATATGTTCATCTATCCATTAACCCCCCCATCCCCTCTCCCTTTTCCTTCCCCCTTCAACACGCTTCCAGTCTCTTCATCATGTTTTTGTTGACCCACTCCCTTGTTTTCATTTCAAACTGGTTTTTGCTCAGCAATTAAATGTATTTTGACCTGGCATAACCTACGTTTTTGCAGGACAAGGGAACAAATTCGCAAAAAAATGATTGTTGTGAATTGTTGTAGTTACACAACTCATGACAGCCATTAGTTCTTTATTCTTAATACCTTCCCTTTATTAATTCCTTATTCTTTATACCTTCCCCTTATTAGTTCTTTATCCTTTATACCTTCTTTTTATTAGTTCTGTATTCTTTATACCTTCCCTTTATTAGTTCCTTATTCTTTATACCTTCCCTTACTTAGTTCCTTATTCTTTAAACCTTTCCTTTATTGGTTCTTTATTCTTTATACCTTCCCTTTATTAGCTCTTTATTCTTTATACCTTACCTTTATCAGATCTTTATTCTTTATACCTTCCCTATATTGTTTAGATTGGGTTCTCTAGTATCAGATTCAATATATATGCCTGAAAAGATTGGCTTGAAAAATTCAAGGGCGATCAATATTCTTGGTTCCAAAGACTAAATAATGAGATAGATATATAGATGGATGGATATACAGATAGATAGATAGATAGATAGATAGAAAAATAAATAAACAGATAGTTGGATAAATAGATAAATAGAAAGATATATATACAGAAAAGTATTTATAGATAGATAGCCAGATAGATATATAAATATGAATATATAAATATAGATAAAAATCAAAAGATAGATAGATAAAAAATAGTTAGAGACTTTAAGATAAATAGATATAGATAGATATATTGATAGATAGTTGAGTTTTCGAAAAATGAGACATTTTCGGACACCCTGTATTTTTATTGTTATCTGATGCACTTGTCTCGCCCTGTAGATAGTACGGGGTCAGTAATACAGCGAGCGATCTTTCAAATACATTTCTCTGAAGGGATGAGAGCAACGTAGTTTAACATAACCTTGTAATCAGACAGCGTGCACTATACACGATTTACATGGTTTTAAATTTCAACATTTTTCAAATTGACCCAAATTTGAGATGTTTCTTTTATTAACAAATCAATTTTTTAAAACTTGGTTCTCAATTTGTAAAAACTAAAACTATCATTTTTGTATTTTAAGTTTGTCAAGTTACAAGTTGCAAAGCCATAAACTTCCGTTAAAGCTTCATCTGAGTACGTAAAAATGAGTAAGTTATCAACAATTGTCCATATTAAAAAGTGTCAGAAAAGCTCAGTTGCAAAAAATCTATTTAGAGCTAAATCTATTTTCCAGACGATGGATTAAAGAATACCAATCAGCATCGAACATACTTTTCTAAAAACATAAAATTACGTCTACAGTCACTTTAGAGATTATAAATTATCAAAAATAACTGTTGATTTGTAAATTAGATAAAATGATAAATAGTTTTAAAACCTGAAGATTGGAAAAGAAGGTTAGGACTAGAGCTGCATTATAAACAATATGGAGAACTATGATAGATGATAATGAATCTGAAGCTCTAGTCTGTACAGATCTATTGTTTTAAATTCAACATTTCCATCCTTGAGTTTCAGGAATCATGGACCTAAGAGTATAATCTATAGTAAAAAAAGAGATACTAAAACAATTTTCACCTAAAAACTTTAGCCTTTATAATGCAGGTTTAATTCAACCATTAAAGGACATTTACAAGCGTAATTTTAAGTGCATCTCTATGCATTGATGGCAATGTCCGATTTACAGCAGTACCCTTGAAAGCTTTGTTTAATGTTTAAACTAGATTTCAATGTTTTTGTTTCTTAAAACTGTTTATTCTCATTTGAGCTTTCTTTGCAAAAATAACTTGCGTATTTCTTGCTTAAAAAAACAGTGGACAAATTATCGGATGATAAAACTTTTCAAGTCAGAACAACGCAACTACGTAATCTTCCACATTTTTGATCAGGTTTCAATGGAACCGTTGTAAATCCTATGTAGTTCTTGCAAGGATAATGCAAAAAATGTTCTTTGTACCCTCCTGGTTTATTTTTAATATACTCTATATAAAATATAAATACTCTAAGAAAGGCCCATTTGGTATTGGTTTAAAAAGGTCAAATGTATACATAAAGCTTTAAAAATCTGATAATGCTTTCAAACGTATTTGACCCAAGTTTATTACCCTGTATAAAATATTTATATTCATGTATGTTTAAAACTGCACGACATGCATTCTTACCTCAACTGGGCCCGGGTTCATTCTATTATTGTTTAATTTATTTGTCAAAGATGGCGTTGATGTTTTTTAAGGGACACTTTGTTCAGGGAAGGAGGAGAGGGAGGGAGTGTAACGGGGGGGGGGGGGGGTTGGATTGTTAAAATGGAATTAATCATTCAATAAATTTGAAATAACAAATTGTAACTTTTCAATTTATGAATGAATACTAAAATATTCGATATTTATATATACTACATTCTTACGTCCATCGGATATTCAAACACCGCCGGGCCAGTTATTATTCTCAGAAACAGCTTTGATATTCATTTATAGCAGTTTTATGAGATTCTATGCTATGCTACAATTAGAAAAGAGAATTCCATATTTAGCACCCCCCCCCCCCCCATAAATAGCAGGTCTGCAGAAGGGGGGGGGGGGATTAGAGGGCATTTTGAGATGAGTAGTAGAGTAGTAGATAAGATCATAATTAAAGCTAGATATTCTTCAATGTAATAGCTTTCAATGTTCTTTTCTGCTCCTCGCAGAGCTATTATATAGTGGTGAAATATGACTTAATCCGGGGTTAGAAGCAGTTCAAAACTTTTAAATGAAACCATTTATAAAAAACATCAAAGTAAAAATATGAAAGAAGCTAGGGAACCCAGCTTTTCCTGGAAACTTAGTTTTCTTCAAAAGAGTAAACCTTTTCAGCTCAGAACATTTAAACCAAACAAAGAACATTACTGTGGTTCTACCGAGTTCCTCAGTCAAAATTTGATACACGCGTAAAGGGGTTCCTGAGTTATGATCGGACATACAAACAATCAAACAGAGATTACTACTCTATATGTATAGATATATATAAGGTTGAGAGATTAAAAAAAGTGCCACAATTCATTTAATGTTCAAAATGTTAGCATTTGTTATATTTCCAAATGAGCAGAAGTATTCTGAGTTGTTCTTAACCTTCTTTAAAACCTTGAATACCGGTTTTAAAGATGCCCAAATAACTCATCCCTTAATGCTTTTAGATTCAATGGAGGGTTTAGGGGATGGGAAATGGGAGGTATAGAGTGAGGAGGGGGGGGGGGGAGTAGGGGGTGTTTTTCCCTGCCTCGTATGAAATATAGTAGTAGTTTGAGCTTTGTTCCCGTTCATGTATTTTTTCAATCTTTAACTCCTTAAACTCATTATTTGTTTGTGGTTCAAAGTTCAGATTTAGGTTTTATAACATAATAAATGTTAATGAAAGGCGGCAAATTATAAACACACAGAAATAAATTCCTCTTGCTCTGAAGCTTTTTCACTTTTGTAAATAACATAAACTTACTTATTACAAGGAGAATAGTGCATAGTTCAATTTTGTGCATTTCAGTGCAAATGAGTAGGTTTAAAACAGCAATTGATTTCTTTAATTAAAAATGCCAGGAGCGATTTTGTATAACTGCAATATTCATTATAGTTTGATTTTTATATAATTTTGATCTTTTCAGAATTAAAATTTGTTTCATGGTCAAAATAATTGGGCTCTGTACAAAAAAAAATGTGCAACCCAAAAATAGTTTTGTTCAATTCACTTTTCAAGAAAAGGAGTTGAGTTTTTGCCACAAACTCTGATTTTCTAATCTCTAGATCTTTGTAACCCAATGTCGTAGACCTTAGATATTTCAAACATTAATACTTACAGATAAAATAATCTAAGTTTGAAATATCAAAGGTTTGCACCATCAGGTTGCAAAGATATTGGGATCAAAAGATTTGAGTTTGTGGCAAAAACTCAATTCCTTTACATGTTTTCAAAATTCCAAGTGGCATTGCACGTCAAAATAAAGTAAATTTCATGCAACATTGAAATCTTTTATAATTTCAATAATAACTACTCTTATTCAAGTGCTATTGAGAAAAAATTTTAAAACGTAACCGAAAAAATTTTCTTTGTGACACCTATACGTAGAGTCATATCTAAAGGATCTTGGAGGTCACAAAGTCAACCCAGTAAATTTGACCTTCTTATGCTGTCTACTTTAATGTGATTTGCCAAACTGATTTTTTTTCATAAAAAAAATTGCCTAAAACATTTTCAGGGAACTTTATTTAAGTATCCAATAAGAATAAGGTATTCAGTGTCTAATGATTAAAGATAATCATCATTTAAATATTTCTTAAAGTTTATGCTTTACAGAATAAATTTATGCTTGAAGATAAATTTGAAAGTTTAGGTGTTAAATGATAATTTATGGAATTTATTTAAAAAGTTTTGAATGATAAGGCTAATATTATCAATAAACTATCAATTAACATAAATGAACATATTTCAAAATCAAACTAAATTTTGAACTTTCAGCTATATTTATCAGATTAAATAAAAAACTTTGGATATCTGTAAATGAAAGAACTGTTTTCTGTTTAGCAGCCAGTAATTTATTGAGTTATTTGCCTGATTCATGAAGGTACCTTTATAAGAATTAATGAGGAAGACAACGACGTTTTCCTGTCCTAAAAATGGCAAACATCTGTTAAATTCCATTCTTAAAATAAGATAAAAAACAAGCATATCTCCCTTTTTTTGCTCAACAAAAGTATTCATCGTACAAATTCCTTAGTAGGGAAATTTCTACTCTTTGAATGAAGGGTCACTTTAAGTTCCGTCAAAAAATACAATAATGTTCAAAGAGCCAAAGCTAGAGTACCAATAAATGTTTAATTTCTAGTCTTGAACTTGAATATATTTATTTGCAGGAGGCGGATGGGTGTCCGGGGATCAGATCAGCTGAGAGCGCACTGCCCCGTCTCATCTCCAGTCCGTCGTCTGCGCATCAGTGTTGCGCTGTACTTCAAGAAGAGCAGTGCTGTAGTTATAGGCAATCATCACATAATAATCAAAACTCACCTTCTGCAATTTGTCTTTAATTTTTTATTTTGATTTTTAAAACACTATTTGTTGTAAATTCTGTTCGTAGAGTTTTTTCGGTGCCATTTTTTATTTTGAAAATTTGCATGCATATTTAGTTTTCAAGGCTTGAAGGGAAACACAAGCCATATTTTGCGGAGTGAGAGTTGCAAAAACATAGGCACCCAGTGTACACACAATAAACTACCCGGCCATGCAAACATGCAAATTCTATTCCAAACTCGACAGTTCGTACTGCAACACAAACTTTTTGAGACAAACAAAGTATATTTTGGGATTTTTAAATATTCGGAAGAGAGGAGTTTTTATTATGTTTTGTTTTTGTGATTTAGTAAAGTTCGGCAGCCTCACTATACAGTTGAGGGGCCGAATCTTTCGTCACGAGGCGACATACCCGTGAAAGTGCAAAAAGGGCAGCATCGACATTGTGTCGAGGGGCCCCAATCTCAATATCAGTATCATTCCCTTTATCAGGCTCATCCCGATGATACATCAATGGAGGCGAACAGGTAGGAAACCTATTGTTCATGTTTTTTTCTAAATGGGACAAGACTTTGATTTGGGTTTTTGCAATTATTTTATTCAACATTTTGTGCTATTCAATCTCAAGTTGTGCATAAAAACCAATAAAGATCAAAATATCCCAAACTGTAGATTAAAAATAAGACTTATATCCAAAGTTGTTTATTTCAACTAAATGAATATCCAAAGTTGTTAATATCAAATAAATGAATATCCAAAGTTGTTAATATCAACTAAATGAATATCCAAAGTTGTTAATTTCAACTAAATGAATATCCAAAGTTGTAAATATCAGCTAAATTAATCTAAAGTTGTTAATATCAACTGAATGAATATCCAAAGTTGTAAATTTCAACTAAATGAATATCCAAAGTTGCAAATAAAAACTAAATGAATATTCTAAAATCTATTCGCAGATATTGATAACTTCCGTACACATGATAAAAACAAATTTTAAAAATGACTTATATTGACATAATGGAATAAATAATTATTTCTGAAAATGTTCTCAAAAGATATTTGTATCTTTAGAGATCGTTTACATTCATTGGTTTGAATGGAGGTTTAGAATAACGGGTATTTTCTATTGAGAAGTACTTCACTATTTCATTGAACTAGAAATACTTTTTAAAGATAAATGAAAGAATTTTTTTAACAGTAAGATATAATTATTTTAATATTGAGTATTACTAACATTTGCTTTTTACCCATTGACGAATTTAAATTTATTAAAGTTTTCGTTAGAATCATTGAGGGCGGATACAGGGGAGGGGGGCTGTATCCTGTATCCGCCCCTAGAATCATATCATGGTCGCAACAATTATAATACAAAAATATACAATAAAAATATCAATACCTGTCAAATTTGGTTCAGTGTGAAAACGTTATTTTTTTACGACGACGATCACAAGCATTAAGTTTTGATAATTTCAATTCTTTTCATTCTTTTCATTGATCTATCAATTAAGAACTTTCTCGGATGGTTTAATAAGATTAAAATGAGAATAATATTTGGTTTTATCGTCTTATAAACCGGCTTTTCAGAAAGTTAAAGAAACAATTGAGTTGACCTAAATTTTCAGTAGATTTGAGAATCAAAAAAATTAATCAAAGGAATTGAGTTTTGCCACAAACTCAAATTTTGTAATTCCTATATATTTGCAGCCTAATGATGTAAACCTTTAATATTTCAAACTTAGGCTATTTGATCTAACAGATTTCATAGTTTGAAATATCTAAGGTCTACGACATCGGGTTCCAGAGATATAGGTATTACAAAATTAGAGTTTGCGACACAAACTCATGTCCTTTGTGAGGATTGTTTATTGTACACATGGGCTTTTAAACAACGTGGAAATTTAACAACTATTTTTTAATTTTACAAAAAGTTGTGTGAAATAAAACCTCTGCCTAGGGCCTATGCGTTTTTAAAAATATTTTTTTTATTTTAATACTTCCTAGGCGTCATTTAAAATTTTAGTAAATATCAAAGACTTGAATTCGTCTACTTGACTTTGATCACCACTTAAAGCATGGCTTATATGATTTGAGTCTTTGCCACAAAATTAAATTTTCATCGCCCTATAACTTTGCAACCATAGAAATTTCAAAGGATGATTATTTTATCTACCAGAATTCATAGTTTAAAATGTTTAAGGTCTACGACTTAATGTTGAAAAGAAAAAGGAATTAGAAAATCAGAGATTGTAGCAAAGTCTTAACTCCTTTGTAGCCAGAAGATTTAAAATCTATTAAATAAGTTGGAAGAGAAAATTCCAATAAACTTTTGAAATTCAAAAATTAAGTGCTTGGTAATCTGAAATCTATCTTATTTGAGAAATTTTAAGTGACATATTTGTGCCATTAAAATTAACAGGTTTATTATATTATAAATTATCAAAAATAACTGTTGATTTGTAAATTAGATAAAATGATAAATAGTTTTAAAACCTGAAGATTGGAAAAGAAGGTTAGGACTAGAGCTGCATTATAAACAATATGGAGAACTATGATAGATGATAATGAATCTGAAGCTCTANCATCCTTCCCTGAAAAATAAATTGACCACACGTCTCAAAATCTAATTTTCTAACCTCAATATCGTTTCATCCTGATCCAGTAGACCTGTGCTATTTTAAACCATGAATTCTATCCTGGTGGTTCAAATTTATGTAGTTGAAAAAAACGTTAGTTTTACGCCATCAGGTTTCAAAGTTTAGGGCGACATATAACTACTTGGAACTTTCAAGGATTTCATAATTCTAATTTTCTGATCAGGTCTATCTTTGAAACCCAATGTCGTAGACCTCAGATATTTGAAACTATGTATTCTGGAGATCAAATAATATAAGTTTGAAATATTAAAGATTTACACCAATAGGTTGCAAAGATATAGGGATTAAAAAGTTTGAGTTTGTGGCAAATACTCAATTCCTTTCTACACTCTCTCTCATAGAAAATTAGACAATTAAGAACTAAAAAGTATTGATTGCTTTCAACATCCAGATGCAAAATATTCAAACATAAGAATAATCAATACCATATGCAAACCATTTAAATGTAAACCTCAAATTTTTACTAATTTCCGACCTGGTTCAACGGCTTTCTGGTTTCTAAAAACAAAGAGAATGGATAAGTATAAAGCGGTATTAAGTTGAAAAAAGTGTAACACCGCCATTTTACTGTTCTACTGTTTCCATACTAAAGAGTGCAGTGCAGGTGTACTTTTAGGCCCTGGAACATCTTTTTATAGAAGAAAATTTTCTTGAAAATTATTTTATTATGTCGAAATCAATACTCTGACAACCTGTCCTGCATTCCCGAGTTCATTTCAGCATAAACTTTACTTTTTATTTCCGAGTTCATTTCAGTATAAAATGTATAAGAAGAAATTGTAACGGATATGTCCCGGAATCATACTGTATTATTGTGATGTACTGCGTGTAATTTGTAAACAAAAAAATGAATTGTACACTTTGAACTCTCTTTCAGGCTTAAAGGGACTGAACAAATTCATACCGCGGTATAGTCTTATTACCTTTTTATTCTAATCTCTATTCTGTTCACCTTATTTCCCTTCTATTCTAATCTCTATTCTGTTCACCTTATTTCCCTCCTTTTCTAATCTCTATTCTGTTCACCTTATTTCCCTTCTATTCTAATCTCTAAGATCACTGAACAGGGATTCACCATTTTTCTGTAAGAAATTAGAATTTGTACACTATGGTCCATGACCTACCAACGTACTTCTATATGCGTTGTTTTCCACTTCTACGCATCTAAATTAATAACATAAGTAAACCCTGAATTTTTTACTCAATTCCAAACTGGTTCAACGGCTTTCTAATTGCTTGAAAACACAGACAAGAGGGATTCACAGATTAGATTTCTTCTGGAAATTCCGGAATGTTATTTTGATGGCAATGCCATTTTGTAAATTCCATCCAATCGTCAATAATACGATATTTAAAATTATTTTTTTTGGCCAAATTTTCAATATTTCCAAAACATGTGTAGGCTATATAAAAAGACAGACTCAAAATTTGTTTAACAGATTTTTTCTCATTCTTGTTCAATTGATCTGTTATCCTCTTTTTTTTTCTTAAGAGCTATTATTCTTATTCTAGCTTGGATGTAGAAAAAGAAGTCAATAAATTCCGTACACTCGTTTAGGAAGTCTCATCTTTTGTCGGTAACCATGTATTCAACGTTTACTTTAATGCAGTTAAAAATAAAAAAATCATGAATTTAACAATTTGAAAATAATTAAACTCACTGTTATCCACCCCAAATTAACAGCGCATCCTATTTTGCGCTCTTTAACCTTCATGCGTGTTAAGTTTAGACTGTTTAATATGTAAATATACATTTTAACAAATTAATTTGGTTTTAACACAAGTTTATAAATATAACGCCCCCTAAACCTGTCAAATAATAATGATATTCAAATTGAATATATTTCAGCTGTGAATCTTTAATATGAATAATTAAACGAAGTTTAGATGCATAGATGGATGTTGCAAGTTTATCTTTTAGTTTAAAATAACTGCTTTTACTACGGTTAAAAACATCTTAATGCTAATTTATTTAATATTTCAAAACCAAAAAATCAGCGATGCTTAAATCCACGAAATGTGCATTTCGTGAATAATATTATGTTTAGGTCAGTGTTTAGTGTTTGTATATATGGTCATAGAATCTGAAATTAAGGAATTTTATTACCTCCCGTGATTTCAAGCTCATTTTAAACAGACTGTACACAAAAACCGTAGGAATTGCATAAAATAATCAATGTGAAAAAGAAGGCTGACATGAAAAGTTATTTGATAAATGATATTCAATAGCTTATTTACGAAATTAAAAAACAATTGCTAAAACGGTGTGAATCGTGACTGGCATAAACTTTTTTCTCAAATTGTCCCATTAAAATTTTTTTTTTTAAAACTATTTTTCGAAATTCCTTTCTTGCTCTCTCTCTGTATTGTAATTCAACGCGGCATGCGCGTAACTCCTTTGGTCTTCTGTAAACGAAAAAACCCTTGAAAAGACGATATATAGTGTTCTATCTGTATTGCTATCAATATCTAACTGTTTTAAGTCTATCTAAATCCACCCACACTCATTTTATTCAAGAATATTCATCAACAGTCAAATCATCTTTCTATCAACCATTTTATACACAGGTCACGAGGTGGTGAAAAACTAATTATCAAATAACTTATTTTGTGGATAAAGCATCCAGGGTGTCAAAATATAAAAGATGTAAATGTGGAATGTGGATAAAGCATCCAGGGTGTCAAAATATAAAAGATGTAAATGTAGAATGTGGATTAAGCATCCAGGGTGTCAAAATATAAAGATGTAAATGTGGAATGTGGATCGAGCATCCAGGGTGTCAAAATATAAAAGATGTAAATGTGGAATGTAGATCGAGCACCTCACGGTGAATTATAATTTATTTCATGTACAGAGCCGAATTTCAACTAGC